ACGCTGCGCAGAGAAAAGTGCCCAGCCTTGCCCCGACACCCAGCACCAGGGCGCCGCGAGACAAATGTTCACGACGGGTGCGCGTGAGCCCATAAAGACCGGCGGACTCCCGCGACAATCACGAATCGATCGAGCTCGAGGGACGCCGCCTTGGAAGAGGGGGTCGGAGGGTCGGGGGCTCCGACAGTGATGCCTTCTTCGCGGCGTTGTGTGTTTTTGTCATGGCGGTGGATACCAGGCTGTGCCCTCTCCTCCTCCTCCCCATCCTCCTCCTCCTGCTTTCCTCCTCCCCATCCTCCTCCTCCTGCTTTCCTCCTCCTCCTCCTCCTCATCCTCCTCCTCCTCCTCCTCCTCCTCCTCCTCCTCCTCCTCTTCCTTCTCCTCCTCCTTCTCCTCCTCCTCCTCCTCCTCTTCCTCCTCCTCCTCAGCCTCTTCCTGCTCCTGCTCCGCCTGCGCCGCCTACTGCGCCGCCTCCGCCTCTGTCTTCGCCTCATGTGCCTCCGCCGCCGCTTCATCCGCCTCCGCCTCCTGCTCCGCCCCCGCCCTCTGCCCTGGATTGAGCTTTCCTCCATGCGGAGTTGTTGGACCGCGTAATTAGCGCGTGGACAGGCGCCGGCCATCTCCGAGATCATCGCTGCTAGCGCCCCCGCCTCAGACGACTGACGGGGCGGCGGCCGTGCTCGGCTGCCATGCTGGTGCGAACGCAAGACGCCGCCCCTATGCCGCGGTCATCATCAACTCATCATCACCATCACCATCACCATCACCATCATCAGCATCATCATCATCATCATCATCAGCAGCATCATCATCAGCAGCATCAGCATCATCATCATCTCAGCCGCAATGCATCATCATCCTAAGCATCATCATTACCATCCTACTCATCATCACCATCATCATCAGCAGCATCATGATCATCATCATCATCATCATCATCATCATCATCATCATCATCATCATCAGCAGCAGCATCGTTCTCATCAGCAGCATCATCAACATCATCACCATCATCAGCATCATCATCATCATCATCATCGTCAGCATCATCAGCAGCAGCAGCATCAGCATCAGCATCAGCATCAGCATCATCATCATCATCATCATCATCACCATCACCATCACCATCACCATCACCATCATCGTCATAATCAGCATCAGCATCTGCATCTTCATCATCATCAGCATCAGCATCATAATATTCGTCATCATCATCAGCCTCATCATCGTCATCATCACCACCACCAGCATCAGCATCATCAGCATAATCATCACCAGCACCATCATCAGCCTCATCAGCATTATCATCACCACCACCACCATCAAACTCATCATCATCATCATCATCATCATCATCAGCATCAGCATCAGCATCAGCATCAGCATCAGCATCAGCATCAGCATCATCATCATCATCATCATCATCGTCATTATCCATGAGGAGTTGCTGCCCTCCCTCACTCCCCCCACCACTCCTCCTCCACCCGACCGCCGCCTTCCCACCGCCTGCCTCGCGCATCATGCTCAGCCATCCTCCTGCTCCCGCCGCTACTGCTGCTGCTCAATCACCTCCTCGTCCTCCTCCTCCTCGGCTCATTCCCAGAAGGGTGACGAGGAGGAGGAGGAGGAGGAGGAGGAGGAGGAGGAGGAGGTGGAGGGGCAAGAGGAGGGGGAGAGGGAGGAGGAGGAGGAGGAGGAGGAGGAGGACCAGTGTAAACCCAAGACACATCAACGATGTTGCAATCAACCCATCCTTCCAAGCTCCCTCTTCATAAGTCAAGACAACCGTCTAAACCTCAATCGTGCTAAAACGCCGTTCCTGAGACGTCAACGGCGCGGATCAACATGACGGTTGCGTCCTGACATTCTGAAACCGTGCCAGAACCCATTCCTGGGACATCAACACCGCGAATCAACATGAATGCTGCGTCCTGACAGTCCTGAATCGCGCCGGACCACAATTCCTGGGACTGCGACCATACGGATCCTTGAAATTACTGCAAACTGTTGGAACGCATGTGCGCGGCACTACAGCAAGAGCCAAAGTTTGAACAGGAACCACCTTCCATCCTTGAAAGTGTTGCCGAAATTTAGACAAACGTGCGCGGTGCTAGGGCGAGAGCCACAATTTCAAAACCACCCGCCCTCCATCCGTGAAACTGTTGCAAGCTTTGACGACGAATGTGCGCGGCGCAAGGGCGAGAGCCAACTGTTGAAAAAGAACCGCCCTCCAACTGCGAAACTGTTACCAACTTCAAGCTTCAGGGTCAGAGGTGACGAGGCAGTCTCAGGGGAAACGCCCGGCGCGCCCCACCGACACGTCTGGGGGTGAGACAGGGAGGAGATGATCATGAGCAACATAGAGGAGGGGTTAGAAGAAGAAAAACAGCATAAACATAAACGGTGGGCGCTCCGCTCGGATTTCTTGGATCTGCGCTGGACCCCCCATACCTGGCGCGCGGAGCGCGCCAAGGGCGGCGACGGAGGCGCCGCCGGGGGT